GCTGAAGTCAGACGCTCAACCGACTGAGCCACCCAAGCGCCCCAGTAACTTTCCTTTTTTTGTTAAAGGTCGAGGAAAGGCTGGTGGGTGAAAATATTGGCACCCACTCACTAAAAGGAGCTTTGAGAGTAGCCAACAGTTAATCTGTGTGCTTCCTGTCCTATCTTCACAAACAGGGCATGTCCGAGTTTCTCTAAACGTTAACAAATCATCCCAGTCTTTTGTCTTTAGTTAGGTGGAAACAACTTCTTTGCCCCTTCATCCTCTTAGAAGACTGAAACCTTTACTTCGTGGAACATTTGATATTCTCCTTCCCGTTGCATTAATACTGGCAGGAGAACTGAGACAACCCGATCAGAAAGAAGTAAAGCATTTAGGCGAAAAAAATAACTTTACTCCCCTCAGCAAATACCCCCAACTGAGCAACCAGATGTCAACATTTTGGGGGGTACTTTTTGGGAAGACTTAAGGGCACGGTGCAATTCTGGACCTGTGTATTCGTTTTTTGCTTACTTTACTGGAAAGCCAAGTCGGTCCTGTTTACTAAATACAATGTCGGCTTGTAAACATAGAAAAAAAAAGGGTGATGATTAAGGCTCTTCTGAGACAGGAAGGGTCCTAGTAAAGGTAGCCCTTCTCTTGACTTTACATTTCCTCAGGGTCAGGGTCGTATAGATCTTTAAGTAGGGCTAAGGGTGGCCTTGAGAGACCGATTCTCCCCGAGTTTTGCCAGCAGAAACAACAACAAAGTTCTTTTGAGGATGCCACGGGCATTCAAGCAAAAGCTTGGTTTCCTGCTGCCTATCCAGGCTCAGAGGGTACGGGGGGCGCCTCCTCTATTTCTAGGTTACTAGAAGCTAACGTCTTTGAGGCTGGGATGCCCCTTCCTCCTGCGACCCAACCACCAGCCGGCGGAAACGCGGAAGTCTCGCGGAGCGCAGCGGACACACCGCTGCACCACCCCCACCACGAGTCCGAGACGCCCTCGGGCCCGACCGCAAACGCGCCCCGGAGCGCTCCGCGGGTGGCCGGCCCCCAAAGGTGCCCGGGGAGCATCCCTGGGTTGCACGCGCACCTGGGGGACAAAGAGGTTGCTGGCGGAGGCGGGACGCGGCGGCCGGAGCCCGAGGACCGGCCGGGCCGAGCCGCCGCGGGGCTGGGACCAAGCGGCGCGCGCCGCGGGAGGCTGCCGGCCCCGCCCCTGCTCGTCGCCGGGGGGCGGGGGGGAGGGGGCTGCCACTGGCACGTGCCGCCCCGCAGCGCCGGGCGCGCGCCAGACCGAATCCCAGGGGCGACGCGGCTTCTCCATTACCTCCGCCCAGCTCTGGCTTCCGCGGACGCCACTTCCCTCTTCCTCGGCTCGGCTGCAAGGTCGACAGGCCTCCCCGCCGCCCTAGGGGAGGAGGCGCCCGCTTCCCGCTCCTCTCCGGGCCTGGAGAGTGGAGCTCCGAGCTCCGGAGCGCGGGGCCCTAGGAGGACCGATCCCCCACTTGATCCCTCTAGCTCCCTGACCCCGTACCCCGACTCGCCATTTTGGGCTCTGTGGACCGGGCCCAACCGGAAAAGAAAGGATGCGCTTCCGGTGGCTTTGTGACAGCCACGCCCAGCCATCCCCCTCTCTCTACCTGGCGCCGCCGGGCGGCAACCGAGCCGCAGGTCCTTCCCACCCGAGGGGGGAGCCGGCCTTCTGCTCCGGCTCATCCCCGGGCGCGAACACGCCTTCTCCCAGCCGGCTGGAGGCCTAGGGGAGCCCCGTAAGCTGTTCGTCGCCTGGGAGCCGTGTAGCCTACTGACTCCAGGTGCCGCGATCTTATGGCCTTGATCGCCAAGTGCAGATCGTGCCTGGTCTCGTTCTGGCGGCCGGCTGCCCTTTCTACTAGAAACTCCCCAGTGAGGGCCACCGCCCCGAAAGTCGTCCCTAGATCTGTCCTGAGCCTCCTGAGATGGGGCCGTCCTCGGGGTCACATAGATTGCCAGCGGCAGATTTTAGACAAGAATTTTAGGTCTTGCTGCTTCATCGCATGCTTTTTCTTTCTTTTTTTTTTTTTTAATTTTTAATGTTTTTATTTGAGAGACAGAGACAGAATGTGAGCAAGGGAGGGGCAGAGAGAGAGAGAGAGAGAAAGACACAGAATCTGAAGAGGCTCCAGGCTCTGAGCTGTCAGCACAGAGCCCGACGCGGGGCTTTAACTCATAAACTTATAAGCCGTGAGATCATGACCTGAGCCGAAGTCTGACGCTTAACCCACTGAGCCACCCAGGCGCCCCACCGCATGCTTTTTCTAGGCATTATGCTTCTCTGTAGGACAGGACCCTCCTTTCATTTGTATATCTCCTGTAATGTTCAGCATAGTCCTCTGGATAAGTCATCTTTCTAAGAATCTGTGTATCTTGGGTTGTCAGTATCCACATTATCAGTGTTTACCTAGCGTTGAGCGTTTGGGCGAAAACTGTCACTGTGAATCAATAGAGGGGAAACTGTAGCTCAGTAGGGCAGTGAGGATGAAACTGACATCTTTTGAAAGTCTCTGCCAGTAACTACTCCGGCAGGCAAAAAAGAGAGTGCCTAGGAGAAAAATAACACCTATGCAAAAGCAGATGAGACTCAAGCCAAGGTCAATCCCCATTTGAAAAACAAAGCTGCCCCAAAAGCGTGCTAGAGGAGACAGTGCATTACCTGTGATATATAACCCTAGTAAATATGTTTGCCTCAGCAGAGAAACCATTTTAGAATGGTTCTTTCAAAGCTATGTTCCTGAAGTCAGGCATTTTCACCTAATGTTTTTTGACAATGAAGAAGTCAAGGCATTGTTACTTGTGAACAATTCCTGGGCTTACCCTTCAAATTGCATCACTCACTAACCTATGGGGGCAGTTAGATGAAAGACATTTTCTTTTTCTTTCTTTGTTTTTTTTAAATCGTAAGTTTTTAAACCATATGGGGTTTATATATATATTTTTTTCAACGTTTATTTATTTTTGGGACAGAGAGAGACAGAGCATGAACGGGGGAGGGGCAGAGAGAGAGGGAGACACAGAATCGGAAACAGGCTCCAGGCTCCGAGCCATCAGCCCAGAGCCCGACGCAGGGCTCAAACTCCCGGACCGTGAGATCGTGACCTGGCTGAAGTCGGACGCTTAACCGACTGCGCCACCCAGGCGCCCCTGGGGTTTATATATTAATCTGCACAAAATTATTCCTTGTAATTGTCTTCAATAGAAATTATCTGTAGATTAACAGCCATTTAGAATGACTATAGAAATAAGTATAACACTCTCTTCAACCTACTATGGTTTGTATGCTTCAAAGAGAAGAATCTTATTTAAAAGGACTACGGGGCGCGTGGGTGGCTCAGTAAGGTAAGTGTCCGACCTCAGCTCAGGTCATGATCTCACGGTTCAGTCGTGGGTTTGAGCCCCGTGTCGGGCTCTGTGCTGACAGCTCGG